CACATTGTATGATTTTTAAAGAATTTATTTGTATTGCACTGCTGAACATAAGTATTTGAACACCTAAGAAACAGCAAGAATTCTGGCTCTCAAAGACCTGTTACTGTGCCTTTAAAAAGTCCACCTCTACAACACTCATTAATCTAACTTAGTAGCACCTGTCTGAGCTCTTTAAAGACACCTGTCCACCCCACAGTCAGTCAGACGCCAACTACTACCATACGCAAGACCAAAGAGCTGTCAAAAGACACCAGAGACAAAATTGTGGACCTCCACAAGGCTGGAAAGGGCTACGGGGCAACTGCCAAGTAGCTTGGTGAAAATAGATCAACTGTTGGAGCAATTGTTAGAAAATGGAAGAGGCTAAAGACGACTGTCAGTATCCCTCGGACTGGGGTTCCATGCAAGATCTCACCTCGTGGGGTATCACTGATGATAAGAAAGGTGAGGAATCAGCCCAGAACTACAAGGGAGGAGCTGGTCAATGACATGAAGAGAGCTGGGGCCACAGTTTCAAAGGTCACTGTCAGTAGAACACTACTCCGTCATGGTTTCAAATCATGCATTGCACAAAAGGTTCCCCTGCTCAAGTCATCACATGTCCAGGCCCGTCTGAAGTTTGCCAATGACCATCTGGATGATCCAGAGGAGGCATGGGAGAAAGTCATGTGGTCAGATGAGACCAAAGTAGAACTTTTTGGTCTAAACTTCACTTGTCGTGTTTGGAGGAAAAAGAAGGATGAGTTGCATCCCAAGAACACCACCCCTACTGTGAAGCATGGGGTTGGTAACATCATGCTTTGGGGGTGCTTTTCTGCGAAGGGGACAGGACGACTGCACTGTATTAAGGAGAGGATGAATGGGGCCATTTATTGTGAGATTTTGAGCAACAACCTCCTTCCCTCAGTCAGAGCATTGAAGATGGGTCGTGGCTGGGTCTTCCAACATGACAACAACCCGAAGCACACAGCCAGGATAACCAAGGTGTGGCTCCGTAAGAAGCATATGAAGGTTCTGGAGTGGCCTAGCCAGTCTCCAGAGCTAAACCCAATAGAACATCTTTGGAGGGAGCTGAAACTCTGTGTTGCTCAGCGACAGCCCCGAAACTGACAGATCTAGAGGAGATCTGTGTGGAGGAGAGGGCCAAAATCCCTGTTGCAGTGTGTGTAAACCTGGTCAAGAACTACAGGAAACGTTTGACCTCTATAATTGCAAACAAAGGCTTCTGTACCAAATATTAACACTGATTTTCTCAGGTGTTCAAATACATATGTTCAGCAGTACAAGACAAATAAATTCTTTAAAAATCATACAATGTGATCTCCTGAATTTGTTTTTTTAAATTCTGCCTCTCAGAGTGGGAATGCACCTACAATGTGAATTTCAGACCCCTCCATGAATTCTAAGGGCGAGAACTTGCAAAATCACAGGGTGTTCAAATACTTTTGTTCCTCACTGTATATACAGTGGGGATCGAAAGTTTGGGCACCCCAGCTAAAAATTTGTATTAATGTGCATAAAGAAGCCAAGGAAAGATGGAAAAATTTTGGATGGTAACTTGATGCCATCTGTGAAAAAGCTGAAGTTAAAGAGAGGATGGCTTCTACAAATGGATAATGATCCTAAATACACCTCAAAATCCACGGGGGATTACATCAAGAGGCGTAAACTGAAAGTTTTTGCCATGGCCTTCACAATCTCCTGACCTCAACATAATTGAAAATCTATGGATAGACCTTAAAAGAGCAGTGCGTGACAGACAGCCCAGAAATCTCAAAGAACTGGAAGACTTTTGTAAGGAAGAATGGGCAAAGATACCTCAAACAAGAATTGAAAGACTCTTGGCTGGCTACAAAAAGCGTTTACAAGCTGTGATACTTGCCAAAGGGGGCAGTACAAGATATTAACTCTGCAGGGTGCCCAAACTTTTGCAGACGCCATTTTTTTGTTTTCTGTTATTTTGAAAGTGTAAATGATGGAAATAAAATCTAACTTTTGTTGACATATTATAAGAATGTCTAATCTGTAATTTGATACCTTTGGGAGATTTTTCAATCTTTCCTTGGCTTCTTTATGCACATTAATACAAATTTTTAGCTGGGGTGCCCAAACTTTCGATCCCCACTGTATATATATATATATATATATATATATATATATATATATGTATAATTACAACAAACCACAGTGTACAAGACGTTAGTCACCACATACAAAGTTTACCAGTGTGCATTGTGCAGCAATGGACTGCAAGGTCCACACAAGGGGAATGACATCCAAAAGTCAGGTATGGGGGTGCAGAAACCAGGCTATAGGCAGACGAAAACCCACGAGATTCCTCAAATGTACATACTCCATGTACTAGTTCAACTAGCTTCAAGCTAATAGTATGAAAACTAAAAAAAGGCCTAAGAAAAGACCATAATGTATAGATTAATCAAATAGCATCCTCCTATAATAGGGGTACTATGGCATGAGCTTACTTCCCTGAAAGAACTTTACCGTTTTACTTGAAAGGATATATAGACCCTTACGGCCAGTATGTCTATATAGTCCCTCACTAGGGAATAGGGGGCAGACAGCTCAAAAGTTTGCCCACAAGTATTGTCTTCAATGATAGAGAAAGAGGCTTATAGGCCTAAAAAGACAAACAAAATGCCCTCATTAGTATAACTACCCTCTATATTGGTTATGATATTCCTCACCCTTATGGAGATCATCAATAGATGCCATCAATAGACAAGGTTTGTGAGGTCACCGACCAAGTCTGCTCAGCCGTGGAGGAGTCCCAAGAGACCATACACCAGCACACGCCACTTATATACACCCCGACCGGTTGTGCCACCGCCACGAAAGACCGCGCACGTGCAGGAACCCGCGCAAGTGCAGAACCCAACCAGGATTCTGCAGGTGCGGGGACAACCACGCATGTGCAGATGGGGAGAAAAGGGGATCTGTAGGATACAATGCTCCCCAGTCCATGGGCACACCGGCATGGCAGCCACCGCCAACCCCATGAGCACACAGGCCATAGGGGAAGGCAGCAACCAGCCATTGGACCAGCCCCCTGGCCACACACCTGACCACACCCGATAACACCTGTAACTCCCTGACATAATACTGTTTGCAGGATGTTAAATGAACACAAGATGGCAGTGTCCTGCAACCCAGTTATACAGACTATATGTTGAAAATCTTTGTGGGATTCCTAGGCTGAATTGTAGGACTTCACTGTCTGACAGGGAGTTAACAAGCTACATTTCCCAGCTGGCAGATGGACGGAGGCAAATAAATAGAGAAGCCCAGGAACTCGAGGACAGGAAGTGGACGGGGAGAGCTGGACAGCCCTGTGAGCAGGCTGGCCGCAATGCTGCTGTCCAGAGTGATCTCTGAATGTGGAATCATGAGGAAAAGGGGGCCCCTGTCTACAGAGAGACTATCCACCACCTGACTGAGGCCATGGATCATGTGAGTTCCATACTCAAGCCATCTAAGTTGTACATGACATTACCAAATCCAGTTACTTTCTACTCAGTTTGACTACCATTGTTTCTCACGTTACACATGTTAAGACCCACGTTGTTTGTCCTACTAGTTATCACATTTCCAGCAAATTCAATTACAAGGGTCTACTGTAATACCTGCCCTCCGCAGGTGAAGCTGTATTATTGCTCCCATTACAGTCTGCCCATTTGCCAAGATGCTCCTTCATTGCTGCAGTTTGTCACTTTAGTCCAAGAAATAACCCATTTTTATACTCTGACAAATTTTACACCTCACCCTGTGTGTGTCAAAGGGGTACCATTCAAATTCAATATCACTTAAAGGGGCAGCTCTTTTCCTTTGTGTTCACTCTCTATTAAGGAACCTCTACCTTTGCCTCAAGAAAGATTTTAATCCTTATGCGCACCAACTAGGGCTCCATCAAGTGCACATAAGATCAGACACTGCAGGTAAAGGGACATTGGCCTATTTAATTGAAGAGCTCTTCTTTCATCAGAATTACACTCAGCCATCACCCACTGAGAGCCCAAAGTGAGTTAGCCTCCCCGTTTGGTAGTTTTTTTTGCTCACTGGTGAAGAAAAATCTCATTACTGGGGCTATCATTTTATTCTGAATTGCAGGATGGACATCTATAGCTGAAAGAGATTGTGCTGTGTTGTGACCCTTACTTGAAGTTACTAGAGTGATAGCTGTTATTTTATGCACATATTTTCCTGTTGTTTTATGGCAGGGGTCCTCTAACTACGGCCTGCGGGCCACATGCGGCCCGCCGCGGACATTTATCCAGCCCGCCGGCAGTGGCATATTTGCCGTGAGGAAGGGACACTAAGTACAGGGGCGGGCAGGGGGCTGCTGTATCTTACCTGGCTCCGTGTCCCAGTCCCACAACGATCCAGTCCAGGAACCGCTGCACCTTCATTCACTCCAGCCACTCCCTCACTCGATGTTCACGCTGCCGCTCGGCTCGGCCTCCTCACCGGTGATTGGGCGCCAGAACTGTAGCTCAGGAAAGGCACACAGGCGGCCAATCACCTGCGAGGAGGCGGAGCCGAGTGGCCCCATGAACATCGAGTGAGGGAGAGGCCGGAGTGAAGAAGGACAGCTGACAGGTAAGTGTGCTGTGCAGATAGTGCTGCTGCAACCAGGTATGCTGGCTTCAGCAGCACCATGCTGGAACAGGGGTCAGCAAGATAAGTGTCATTGGTGTCAATGGGAGGAATAGTGCCCCACCATTGGTGTCACTGATACTAATGATGGGGCATTATTCCTCCCACTGACACCAATGATGGGGCACTATTCCTCCCCCCACTGACACCAACGATGGGGCACTATTCCCCCCCCCAATGACACCAACGATGGGGCACTATTCCTTCCCTGACTGACACCAATGATGGGGTACTATTCCTCCCACTGACACCAATGATGGGACACTATCCCCCCCCACTGACACCAATGACGGGGCACTATTCCCCCCCCCACTGACACCAATGACGTACTATTCCTCCCACTGTCACCAAAGATGGGGCACTATTCTTCCCACTGACACCAATGATGGGACACTATTCCTCCCACTGACACCAATGTTGGGACACTATCCCCTTCCCCCACTGACACCAATGACGAGGCACTATTCCCCCCCCACACACTGATACCAACGATGGGGCACTATTCCTCCCCCCCACTGACACCTACAATGAAGCACTATTCCTCCCCCCACTGACACTAATGATGGGGCACTATTTCTCCCACTGACACAAATGATGGGGCACTAATCCTCCCTCTGACACCAATGATGGGGCACGATTCTTCCCACTGACACCAATGATGGGGCACTATTCCCCCCACTGACACCAATGATGGGGCACGTTTTTGTCCACTGACACCAATGATGGGGCACATTTCTTCCCACTGACACCAATGATGGGGCACTATTCCTCCCACTGACACCAATGATGGGGCACGTTTCTTCCCACTGACACCAATGATGGGGCACATTTCTTCCCTCTGACACCAATGATGGGGCACTATTCCTCCCACTGACACCAATGATGGGGCACTATTTCGCTCCATAAGACACACTTGGGGGAAATATCTGTGCGTCTTATGGAGCGGCCGGCCCAGTATTCCCACTGCCGTTGTATGTCCGCAGTCTCTGGTCATCTTCTGTACTGTGTCCGCAGTCTCTGGTCATCTCCTGTACTATGTCCGCAGTCTCTGGTCATCTCCTGTACTGTGTCCGCAGTCTCTGGTCATCTCCTGTACTGTGTCCGCAGTCTCTGGTCATCTCCTGTACTGTGTCCGCAGTCTCTGGTCATCTCCTGTACTGTGTCCGCAGTCTCTGGTCATCTCCTGTACTGTCTGCAGTCTCTGGTCATCTCCTGCACTGTGTCTGCAGTCTCTGGTCATCTCCTGTACTGTGTCTGCAGTCTCTGGTCATCTTCTGTACTATGTCCGCAGTCTCTGGTCATCTCCTGTACTGTGTCTGCAGTCTCTAGTCATCTCCTGTACTATGTCCGCAGTCTCTGGTCATCTCCTGTACTGTGTCCGCAGTCTCTGGTCATCTCCTGTACTGTGTCCGCAGTCTCTGGTCATCTCCTGTACTATGTCTGCAGTCTCTGGTCATCTCATGTACTGTGTCCGCAGTCTCTGGTCATCTCCTGTACTGTGTCTGCATTTGTTCATGGTTTTTTTTTTTTAAACTATAGTCCGACCCTCCAATGGTCTGAGGGACTGTGAACTGGCCCCCTGTTTAAAAAGTTCGAGGACCCCTGCTTTATGGTGCTTATTTTATCTCTCATACAACCAAAATATCAGATCACTCCAAATTGTGTGTGAATCTATTTTATGGTTGCAGCTAGAGGGTTCTTCTGGCCAGAGGTTTAAGGTGGTGTCAGCAGGGGTTGGGCTTCAGAGCGGAGTCAAGAAAGACAGGGGACCTGAAAACCCTGAGGGGGCAGTGCTACACTAGGCTGGAAGTGAGTATACATCAGAAGATACCTAATAGCCATATTTTTGAGAAAGGTAATGCAGGGTGCTGGATCAACAAATTCACTCAAATTCTCATCATTCAATAAAAATAAATAAATAAAGGACTGCTATCAGTTCTAAAGTTACTATATTAAAGGAACATGGTTTTACATTTCCATTCCTTTTTATAATTATCAGTAATAAAAAAATATAATCCATTTTTACTTAGGTCTAATATTGGAAATAATTACATACAATATACTTTCAGATACAGTCAGTATACTTTTTATATTTTTATTTCCTTTTTACTTAGGTTAATATGAAATATTACATACAAATACTTTATGTTACATCCTCTATATATTAAATATTTATTTGTAAAACAAAGATGATATATCTCAAAACCCCAGCTTAAAGTATACTGTATCTAAAGTCACAACTGTTCTTTAAAAAAAAAATAGATTAGGGAATGGTTATAGCTTCTGTTAATTTTTTTGCACAGCAGTGTTCCATTTGATAGTTTTCCTTTCACTTCTTGTCCTGAAGAGAAAACCAGAAAGTAAGTAATCTTTCTAAAATTAGAAAAATTCCACTTAGACAGTTGTTACCAGAACAAGTGCCCCCATTGGATTTGCTCTCTAGTCCTGTTCCAGTAAGCTACAAATGTTTTAGTTCATGTGACTGCAGTCACCAGGAAAAATAGAAGAATAAATCTCATTAAAAAGGTCATGAACAGCAATAAAAACTTGGCAGGTGTTTCAAACTCTCACCACATTATCCAAAACTAAGATGAAAAGTTTTTCCTTTTGATACACTTAAATTTATAAACATATAAAATTTCAATAAAATTGACCCACAATTAGAGTTTCACTTAAATGACAATAACATTATTATTATTTTATTTATGTCATAGGTTTTCAATTTAAGTTTCAAACATTTTAGGGGTTTATAAAATGAATTATCTACAATTTATAAAAACCTACCAAAACATTCTGCAAGATCTATCAGAAAGTGAGAACATTAACCACTTGCTGCCCTGCCACAGTAGACTTATTGTGCCCAGGTGGCAGCTGCAAGCCCAGCAATTTAAATAAACGTTGATAAGCCTACTTCCGGGTTTGGGGCGAGTGCGCCCCCTGCTGTCTCCCACTGTGGTGGACATAGCGGGATTTTGTCAGCAGGTCTGCTGATCGGCTTTGTCGAGTCAAAGCACAGATCCTTGTAATTACAAACAACACAGGTGACTGTACACAGAGTAGCGATTTGGCTGTTTCTTCTCCCTGTAATGTAGGGAGAAAAAAACAGCCAAATCTCTTAGTAAAAGCAGTACATATTAAACACTTTACACTTGTTAAGCACACAGTTAACCCTGTGATTGCCCCTTGATGTTAACCCCCTCTCATACAGTGTCAGTAGTACAAAGAGTACAAAGACAGTGTACAGTATTAGCACTGAACACTGTATTAGCCTCACTACTGTTGTGCATGTTAATTAGTCAGTAAGTAAACTTCCCAGCCAGTGTCAGCTAGTGCCAGATTGCCTGCCACGCTATCACAGTCCCACTATAAGTCACTGATCACCTCCATTACTAGTATAGCATCATAGCTTCATAAACTCCAGTACATACACCATAGTTTGTAGACACTATAACATTCACACAAACCAAGTAATATAAACTAACTGTGATTTTAGTAGCAGAATATATTTTGCCCTAAATTTATGAAGAAATTTTATTTTTTTATTTTTTTTATTGGATAAATTGTATAACAGAAAGTAGAAAATATTGGGGTTTTTTTTTCGAAATTTTCAGTCTTCTTTTATTTATATAGCAAAATATAGAAAAGCCAGCTGTGGTCAAATAGCACCAAAATAAAGTTCTATTTGTGGGAAACAAATAATATACATTTCCTTTGGATGATCAAGCAATTAGCAGTTAAAGTAGCGCAGTGCTGAACAGCAAAAAAAAAAAACCCTGGTCATGAAGGGCGGTAACACCTTCAACAGCTCAAGGTTGAAAAACCTCATAGTTGAATAACTGTTCAGCCCCCTTGTGTAACTTAACTCTTTAATAATTTGTATCATACTCTGATACTCCATAACTACTGTATTCCCCAAACCTGACCTCTAGTCCAACTAATTCCATGGATATTTAAATACCCAACTCAAATTGCTGAGGGCATGATTTACTCAATCTGTACAAACTGTGAAGTGATCTACAAATTCCATATTGTTTATAGGCACTAGTAAGCAAATTTGGGGAACCCTACATAATGCACAGAGGCACATTGCACCTATATTGCATTATTGCAAACTATTTGTATAGAAATCATAGCAAACATTTACATTTGCAGCTATGAACAAGATTGGTAGTATGTGCTAGATTTATTTCCCAGTTTAAAAGAAACTTGAAGAATGTAACTATGGGAACAATCAGTGAGAAACATATGTTTGTCTTCTTATTTTCCCTCCTGTATGATATTAATGACGTCAATAGATATTTATTCCAATAAACTATAAAAAGATAACCCCTACAGGTCCAAGAAAAATAACAATATAAACTTGCTTGTCTTGGAAAAATTGCCTTTTTTTATTAGTTTCGGCAGGTAGTTTGCCGGGTGTTTTGCTGTATGTTTCTGAAGGTAAAAAAACTCAAGTAAAGATGTAGACAGATTGTGTATCTAATCCATCTTAAACAGTAAAACATTTATTAGTCTATTTTCTTTTTATTGGAGAACATGAAGCCATGCATCATACTCACATCTTCTGGAATATCTTCAGCGGTAACATCATTAGTGCTCATATTTCTGTGATATTATAACTGTGTGTATTTCAGATTTACAAGACTAAGTAATGGTGTTTTGAAATGTGCTGGTTAATTGCAGTTCCTAATATCATATTGCATATTTACCATGACACTCCAATAATTAGAAGACATCTATACAAAAAAAGCAAGAAGGACTTCCACTATCACTGGCATATTCCCAAAATTAAACAAATATGTAAAACCCAGGCATACTGCAAGGTAGGAATACAGTCTCATTTTGAAAACAAATTATTGTGTATTCGATTTTAACCAACAGAGGCTTTTTGTGAGGAAAACAACTTTTTCTTTGATTTAACAGTGAATGCCAGACTTAAGGGGCTATATACTGAGTAATAAAGGCAATATTATAGTAGTTTGCAAGGCTTGCAACTATGAAAAAGCCCAGGAGGTCAAGAGTTTGGACATAACTCCTACTTCCGTTGTTTACTGCTTTCACCTTAAAGGAAACCTGAACAGAGAGAGAAATACATTACTCCCATTGCTGATTACCTTCTCTTTTTTTAAACTTTCTTTTTTATTTAAACATTTGTCATAAAATAGACAATGAGTGACAAGAACAATGACCAAAGACACCATGAAAAATATATCATTGCAAAAGTAGAGAATAAGGCAGTGCATATACCAAGAAAAAAAAAGTACAATGCATTCAATATTACAGTGTCCACAGAATTGTACTAAGGATCGATCATGAGCCAGAGTGAACAAGCCAATTATGTGAAATACAATACTCGAAAAAATTAAAGGAACACTTTGAAAACACATCAGATCTCAATGGGGAAAAATATCATGCTGGATATCTATACTACTGATATGGACTAAGTAATGTGTTAGGAACTTAAGGATGCCCCATCATTTGATGGAAATGAAAATGATCAACCTACAGAGCACTGAATTCAATGACATCCCAAAAATCAAAGTGAAAAAATTATGCAGCAGGCTAGTCCATTTTGCTGAAATTTCATTGTAGCAACTCATAATGGTACTCAGTAGTTTGTATGGCCCCCGCGTGCTTGTATATATGCCTAACAATGTTGGGGCATGCTCCTAATAAGACTATGGATGGTGTCCTGGGGTATTTCCTCTCAGATCTGGACCAGGGCATCACTGAGCTCCTGGACAGTCTGAGGTGCAACCTGGCAGTGTCGGATGGACCAAAACATATCCCAGAGGTGTTCTATTGGATTTAAGTCAGGCTAGCATGGGGGCCATTCGATGGTATCAATTCCTTCATCCTCTGGGAACTGCCTGCATACCTTCTCCACATGAGGCCGAGCATTATCATGCACCAGGAGGAACCCAGGACCCACTGCACCAGCGTAGGGTCTCACAATGGGTCCAAGGATTTCATCCTGATACCTAATGCCATTGTATAGCCTGTAGAGGTCTGTGCATCCCTCTATGGATATGCCTCCCCAAACCCTCACTGACCCACCACTAAAACAGTTATGCTGAACGATGTTACAAGCAGCATAACATTCTCCACAGCTTCTCCAGACCCTTTCACATCAGTGCTCAGGGTGAACCTGCTGTCATCTGTGAAAAGTACAGGGCACCAAATTCTTGTATTCAATGACAAATGCCAATCGAGCTCTATGGTGCCGGGCAATCAGCACAGGGCCCACTAGAGGACGTTGGGACCTCAGACCACCCTCATGAAGTCTGTTTCTGATTGTTTGGTCAAAGACATTCACACCAGTGGCATGCTGGAGGTCATTTTGTAGGGCTCTGGCAGTGCTCATCCTGTTCCTCCTTGCACAAAGGAGCAGATACCGGTACTGCTGATGAGTTAAGGATCTTCTATGGCCCTGTCCAGCTCTCCTAGAGTAACTACCCATCTCCTGGAATCTCCTCCGTGCTCTTGAGATGTGCTGGGAGACACAGCAAACCCTCTGGCAATGGCACGTATTGATGTGCCATCCTGGAGGAGTCA